CAGTGTGGAAAATTGTTAAGCAATTACACGGAGTTATCCATTAGTATATTAAATTGTTAAATGCGAAGAGAAAAGAAGAACAGAAAGAAATCTTTAAAAATATGAATATATAAATGATGATATAAATTTTTTATAATATAATCAACAGACACGGCAGTGTCTCGCGTAAATATAGTATCTATAATAACTGTAATATACGTGCAATGATTTGTAGTACAAGATTTACTCGCGTTTATTAAAAATATAGGTGCTGTGTGCAGTGTTCTTTTCCTTCAAAACCGCGAATTAGCCTCAGTTTCACGAAAGAGAGATAATATTTATATCAGTCTGGAAGCGCTTGGAGTTCTCAAAAATTCGGTTAACGACATATTCGATTATGCAAACGCCTTCTTCGAATCAATTTTCAACATTGATGCCTCCCCGAAACGGGACGAATACAAAGTTCGAATACTCTCTAATTTTGGGCGGCGCGTAATGTGTTCTTGTAATTTCTAATTTGTGCTGTACATTATTGGCTGAAGAGCTCAATAAATCGGCGAGTCCGGTAGGTTCTATTGGATTTAATTACAACGTGACCAGGGGTGCGCAGAGCCTGTTTAAGCGCCGAAGGAATCCATTTGAACGTCATGAATTTACATTCTCCGTACTAAAGTTACCTCACAATAGTCGTCGATTATTTATAAACAATGTATCAGGACTCCTGCGAAAAATTCTGCAGATGATGATTCGCGAAACTCGATATTCGGACGATGGTCTTTTCTGTCTAACCGCGGCGTCGTAAAAGTACTTCTTTTACGGAGATGCACCGTGCCAAACTTGCCTCTTTGAGAATGCAGTTGCAGCTTAGCATAACAGATAGATATATACAGAACATTTTAAATTTCCACACGCTTTCTTTGTCGTTTATATATTCGCGATATTAAATCGACTCATTTTTCCTTAAAGTTTTCGCACATAAAATTTTCGTATCTAATTTTAAACTCATTCACGCGTTTAAGAAATCATTGAAACAAGACGATATTTACGTACAATATATATCTGTTTCCATAGATGATCAAATACTCTCGAAGAAATAATTCGCGTTTTCAAGGAATCATTGGCGATTTATGGCAACCTGTCCACTCTAAAATTTTCAAGCTGCCGGCCCTGAAATATATCGTTTGTAAGCAGAGTTGGGTAGTGTCTAGTTAAAAAGATAAAAGTTGAGTTAAGAAGTTAAATAATTTTAACTTAACTTAGTTACATTATACACTGTTAACTTTTAACTGAATTTAGTCACATTTTATCGGTAACTTTTAACTTTTAATTTACCTCTCTCTTAGCAGTTTTTCATTTTCTGGTTAATTGTTAACCGTAGGTTAATCGACTATCTGTCTCTTTTTAAATAATAATATAAAGAAAGATAGAGAGTCGACTAACCTCTGGTTAACAATTAACCAGGAAATGAAAAACCGGGCCTTAAAGTTAGCCATGCCATGAACAAAGGCGTCGCAAAACGCCGTGCGTCTGGCTACATTGACAGTCTCTGTGTTTCAAAATTCACTGCCAGCTCTAAAATCTACTGTGTACGTGTACTATAGATTCTTAGCGCTGGTAATGAATTTTGAAACACAGCCATTATACAGTCGTAAGTCTCTGAGATTTTATGTAAAAATAAAGCATTTAACTCTTTAATTTCTTTTCACTATTAACGTAACTTTTAATTCAATTAATTGTATTATGGATTAACTTGTATCTTAACTAACAATAAGTTAAATTTGCAAGGCTGTTACCTTTAACTTAGCTTAGTTAAAAAAAAAAGAAAACTTACCCAACCCTGTTTGTAAGATCATCTCTTCGGCGAATCCCTCGAAAAAAAATGCGCGAGCATAACACGGGAAAAAATATACCGGTCTCTCGAACCGAACTTGCGCCGCAAAAAATAATATCCGGGCCGGCTTACATTTATCGCCAGCTAGGTCCAATTAACACCGAACGACCGGCCGCTCGATTCTCGACTTACGTACGAGGATCGGCTTACTTACTCCCGTTGGCATCCCGGGCTACGGGATCTGGGATCTGTGCGCGATTCAGCGTTGGATAACGACCGGCTGATTAACGATCGTCGAGCTCACCCCGGCGAGAGGCAAGAGTCAGCGAGGCAGCCGACAGTCCCGGTCGCGATTGAACTCTGACCCACGTAAGACGACGTTGATGACGATGAATCCACGAAACTAGAAGCGGCGTCCGGTTCTCTATGAGCCAGGTGATAGATAGTGTCATCTCGCTCGAAAGCTATCGCCGGCTTACGGCCGCGCGGGACTTCGATAAGTCTGATTGCTTGCAGTTAGATACGCACCTCGCCGCGTATTTCCCGTATTTTCGCGACGTTCGCGTGTTTCTCTGCCGGCATTTAAATAATTGATTACAGACCGCCGTACATGCGACTGGCGAATTAATTAACTGCGATTACGCGAATCTGTGTGCCACACTTTTGCACCACGCGCACGCCTGTGCTCGTACATAAATACGGATAAATGATAAAAAATGTACTATTTAATATCTAACGTAAATGAATCTCTTTGTATCTATAAAATTGCGTCTCGTGTACTTGTCTGCAAAAATAATCAGTGTTTATGTCTTACTAATTGGTATTAAAAGATGTATGTATTTATGTTTCGAAGTTATTTTAAACTTCACTTAAAACGAGGATCGTATAACATACGTCTACTGTAATTATAGTCCCTGGAATGATGAAAGTATGTAATATGCCCGTGTAAGGAACTGTGTAAATGTCATCTATCGTGAAGCAGATTTCATCACGCGGCGTCTCTTCGATGACACGCCGCGATAATCAGCATATTAGTTTAACAAGTACTTGCTTAATGTCTAGCGAGATACCGCTGGGTGCCTGAGCTTCCTGCCGCGATGATGATTGCGAGACGTGGCGTGTAACGTCGGTTATGCCGATGACAGCAGTCGCAGCGTAAAAACCACACGTGATTGAAATATCGAGAAAATTATTAAGCGGGCAGATAAATTTTTTGAAATTTCGAAATACACCAAAAATCTCGACGTCTGGCGGAGTTCCGACAGGTTGTGTCCCCGACCAATTTTCACCGCGGTCGCACGATTTCACCATCGCAGCCGTGAATTACTCCCGCAGGATCGATTTGATGGTACTCTGATGAAAGAAGCGTCGA